CCATTCTGCTCCTATGATGCTGCTTGGCCTGCTGTGTTCATCCAGCTCTGCACCTTGTTGTCTCGGATTCTCCAGCATCTGCAGTTCCTACTATCTCTGATTCATTTATACTCGTTCAGTACATTTTAAGTTTGGATTCAATTGGAGATTTGTTTACTTAAAGTATCAATTTGAAGTTATTTGCTAATTTATTACTCTTTTGAAAAATAACAGTATCAGTAGATAAAACAGAAATTATTTATGACCAGAAAACCTACTTAACAGGACTGATGTAATGTATTTTGTAAAGTTCTAATTTAACCTTTCCATTAAAAGTCAAATTTCACTTGAATAATAAGTCCTTATTTAAACTGCAACCATTTTCTCTTTTTTGACAATTTCTGTTCTTTTGTCATTAAAAAATGGATTTTACATAAACCTGTTTTACATAGTCTGTTGCCTCTGATCTCAAGTTTAAGTTGCAGAAAGACACTGGAGAACTGCAGCAAAATTTATAAATAAAAACAGAAAGCTGCTGGCATCTGACCGCAGCTCTTGGGTGAGTTTTTTTTATCTCTTGAGATCTTAACTTCTGGAGAACACTTGCTGCTGGCTAGTTGATTGTCTGATACTCACTTAATATGGCAAGGTTTCTCCGACAGAAGCAATGAGGGTCTCTCACCAGCTGTTAGTTAGCTGGTGAGTCCCCTTTCGCCTGGATAGAATTCCACCCAATGTTTTGGATCTGTAACTTTTCTTCAGATCTGCAACTTCCACAGTATTTTGCTTTTGCAATTGTTAAGTCATTCAGAAAGGACATTTCAGCAGTCAGTAAAACACATTAAAACAAGCTGAACAATTTTCACTGCAAATGTAAAGACAGCTCAAATGATCACAATTTCCTACTGAATCTTGAGATATTTTTGACAACTTATGAAATACCACGCAGTTATGAATAAACCATGACTTCTAAAGGATAAGAAATTGAGTTGTAATAATGTTTTAAAATCTTAACCTTGTCAAGAAAATAAAGATCTGTATATCTCATGAAACCTGACTGTGTCTTTTTGGGTATAAGAATGGGTAAGTAGATTTCAGCCAGCCTACCTATACAACCACCAATCTACTTTGGTTTATATGGACCTTTATTCAGCGTTTGTGGAATGTACTCGGCCAACAGTAACCAATTACTGTGTGTCATTAGGAACTGCATGTCAAAAATAATCCATTGATTTTGGAGTACTTTGAGATGCTTCAGGATGTAATGAATTACTTTTGCAAAGCTTTAATTCTTGGGATGTGTACAGTTCTAGCATGGCTATATTTATTGTCCATCCCTGGTGTCCCTTATGTTAACGTCAACCCACTTGAAGTGGAGTTGTGTGTAGACCTGATTGGGTACATATGTCTGATACTTTTTTTTTGGGAGGATGTCAGTAAGCCCCTTGTGTTTTTATCACAATTTGGCAGGCTTTGTGGTTATTGTCTGATGTTAGCTTACAAATTGACTTGGAAGTTTCTCCTTTTTCCAAATTCCAATAAAGAAATTAAATTTACTATCTTAAATAGCAAATTGAGATGGATGAAATGATATTAAATACTACAAAGACACAACCATAAAATGATTTGGACTGAACTTGAAGGGCTGATCTGAGAAATTTTAGGGAGCAATTTATATGAACTTTTTCCAGCTTGGAGACCGCCAGAATGCGTGCAAGTTTTTTGAGATGGGACTTTAAGAAGATCTGCATGTTTTTCTTTCCTTTTAGTTCTGTTTCTTTTATTTCTCCTGTTTTTTTTAATTCTGGTTTTGTAACCAAGATGGTGCTGGTGAATGGTGACTTTGTACATTTTTCGCTGTACTCTTGTATCCCTATACTTGAGAACATCATCGTCATCATAAAATCCCTACAGTGTGGAAGCAGGTGCTTTGGCCCAACAAGTCCACACCAATCCTCAGAGCATCCCACCCACACCCATTCCCCACCCACCACAACCCACCAAATAAACATGTGACAATAAAATCTAATTCTCTAAAGTAGTGCTTTTAAAAAAAAAAAAAAAAATTAGGAATATATTTTAAAAAATAAACTAACACATGGTTGAGGATGCACTCTACTCTCTGCTCTTTTGATGGGCTTTATTTGTTTGCTTTTAAAGAATATTGTCCTATTAGAATTCTACCCTGAATTCAATGTTTTTTCTTCGTATAGATCAAGAAAACCAGCTCGTGGCCTTGATTCCTTATAGCGATCAGAGATTGAGACCAAGGCGAACGTATGTTCTTTTAAAACATTTAAGAAATAATAGAGCAAATGTTATGCATAGTTGTCATATGTTTTTTGCACATCGGTTAAAATTCAGTTTTGGTCAGCAGTTTGGCGAGTAGAAATGTAAAAGTTGGTCCTGCATTGTCTTTTGAGGTCATGCTTTCTAGCTAATTTCCATAATTTAAGGACAGTGTTTATGTTCCACCAATGTACTGATACATGAAGACTACAATTATTGCGTGCCTGGAGCATGAAGTTGACATTCACTCTGCCAGTGGTGCTCATACAGCTGACGTGTTATACTCATAGCTTCCCTTGACTATCCATCCAGCTCACCGTTCTGTCCAACTGTGAGAAAACCACAATCTTAAACTGTGATAGATGGCTGACAGAGTAAGATCGTAAAACATTTAAGATTACATCAGCTATAATTTGAAAAAGAAACATTTTATTAGTTCTGCAATTAAATAGCTTTAAATTGCTCAATGGTTTGGGTGGTCTAATCTTTCCAGGCAGCTACTTGTGACATTTCTGGCAGTGATGTCGATGTCACAGGCACTGCAGTTCCTGAGTGAGTGCGCCACCTGCAGTTGTGGTGGTAGCAAACACGGCCTTAAGGAAAATTCTTTTCGATTGGATTTCTGAATTTGCACATTTGTCAGCAAAACGTAATGACTTATCTCGCAGTAAGTGCCTGAATACCATCACATGATCCTGGCTGTGAATTGAAGTCAAAAGATCTTGTCAATTTTCTTAAACTCCTTCAAAAATGAAGGAGATATTTTAAACTGGAGAACACTTGTGCGGATGCCAGTTACATAAACTTCCAAAAGTCATGCCATTCTCGTTTGTGTAGTGAGTGTTGCTAATTCTTCCTGCATGGGGAATTATTGCTGACAATTTAGGCATAATTTGGTGTGTTGTTTTTTTTTAATTTACTTGTGGGACTTGGGTGTTGCTGGCTGGCTAGCATTTATTGTCTGACCTTAGTTGCCCTTGAAGGTGGTGGTGAGCTGCCTTCATGAACTGCTGCAGTCCACATGCTGTAGGTTGACCCACAATGCCCTTAGGGTGAAAACTTCCAGGATTTCAACCCAATGACAGTGAAAGAATGGTGATATATTTCCAACTCGGTGGTGAGTTGAATGGAAATGGTCATGGGTTTGGAGTGTGCTGTCTAAGGATTTTGGCAAATTTCTCTAGTGCATCTTGTAGATAGAAGTAGTCTGTATACTGGGCATCAGTGGTGAAGGGAGTGGATGCTTGAGGATGTTATGCTAATCAAGTCGGTTGCTTTGTCGTGGATGGTGTCGAGCTTCTTGAGTGTTTGTTGGAGTTGTACCCATCCAGGCAAGTGGGGAGTATTTCATCACACTCCTGACTTGTGCCTTGGAGATGGTCAAAGGGTTTTGAGGAGACAGGAGGTGAGTTACTTGTTGCAGTATTCCTTGCCTCTGAACTGTTCTTATAGCTACTGTTTTTATAAGCGGCTTCAGTACAATTTCTGGTCAGTTGTAACCCCAGGATAGTGGCGAATTCAGTGATTCCATGAAATATCAAAGGTCAGTGGTTAGATTGTGTCTCTCATTGGAGATGGTCATTGCCTGGCATTTGTGTGGTGCATGTGTTACTTGCCACTTGTCAGCCCAAGTCTGGATATTGTCATATCTTGAACATGGACTGCTTCAGTATCTCAGGACTCTCAAATGGTGCTGAACATTGCGCAATCATCAGCAAACATCACCACGTTTAACCTTGTGATGAGGAGAAAGTCATTGATGAAGCAGCTGAAGATGGTTGGGCCGAGGAGACTACGCTCAGAACTCCTGCAGAGATATCCTGGAGCTGAGATGAGGTGAACTCCAACAACCACAACCATCTTCCTATGCAACAGGTATGACTCCCAATCAGTAGAGAGTTTGTCTCCTGATAGCTGTTGACTCTAGTTTCTGAGAATCAAACATTAAATTGAAACCAATTAATTTTGCTGCAGATTTGATCAAGATAAACCATCCCAGAAGATGAATTTCACCTTGGAAACTAATAAAGCAAAACATTATATGGAATTCACATTTTCTATGGAAGGGATTGAGATTACCTGAGTTGTATGCTGACAACTTGTTATGCATTCATTTAGTCATGAAAACTAGTTGGAGAATCTTGAACTGTGTGATATAGTTACAGTGTAAGGAGACATTCTTTTAGAACTGGGATACAAAGGAATCTCTCTTCCAAGAGTGTAATGAATGTCTGGAATTCTCTACCCTAGACAGTTGTAGAGGTTAGATTACTGAATGTATCTAGAATATCGGGCAGTTCAGGGTTATGTGGAGGTAGTGCATAATAGGATTTGAGGCCTGGCAGATTCACCATGATCTTATTGAATGGTGATTCAGGCTTGATGGGCAGAATGACCTCCTGCTGTTCCTCTTATTTATTTATTATTTATGTCTTATGAAATTTGTTCTGCCTAGAACACAACCCTGTGTAACTCCTGTAGTATTGTCTTGTGGCTGAGATAATTGAACTTGAACTTGAACTTGAACTACCATACCATCTCCCTTTGTACTAAATGATGCTGTTTTGTGCTTGCTAAATGATAGTCCTTTATAATATATGTTACAGATTCTCAGGTTTTCTGAATCGGATATCTGACAATTATTTACAATATTCACTATTTACAAGGCTACAATATCAAGGACTTCCACATACAGTCCGGATTCAGTGCTTATTAATGTTACTGTCCATTACACACATGGTTGGTTGACTACACTGACTCCATTGTACAGAGAGAATAACTGAAGGTGAGGCGATTACATTAATACCAGAAAGTCATCTGTCATTGTGTCATCTAACTGTCTTCAAGGTACAGACCAGTCTTGTCTGGAATCTATGCCATAACACAGCATCCCTCCTCCCTTTGAAGGAAAACCCTTTTGCAATAACATGTACAAGGATGCATATATATAATTTTTCTCTCTTCTGCTAGTGTCTTAGAACGTAGCACATAGAACAGTACAGCACAGTACAGGCACTTCGGCCCACAATGTTGTGCTAAACTTTTACCCTAATCCTAAGGTCTATCTAACCTCCACCCCTACCTTATACTATCATCCATATGCCTATCTAATAGCTGCTTAAATGCCCCTAATGAGGCCAACTCCACTACCCTCTCCGGCAATGCATTCCACGCCCTGACCACTCTGAGTAAAGAACCTACCTCTGACATCTTCCCTATATCTACCTCCACTCACTTTAAAACTATGCCCCCTCGTAATAGCTACCTCCACCCTAGGAAAAAGTCTCTGGCTGTCCACTCTATCTACACCTCTGATCATGTTGTACACTTCTATCAAGTCACCTCTCATCCCTTCATCGCTCTAAAGAGAAAAGCCCTAGCGCTCTCAACCTTTCCTCATAAGACCTTCCCTCCATTCTAGGCAACATCCCGGTAAATCTCCTTTGCACTTTTTCCAATGCTTCCACATCTTTCCTGTTATGAGGCAACCAGAACTGGACACAATACTCCAGATGTGGCTGAACTAGGCTTTTGTATAGCTGGAGCATAACTTCATGGCTCTTGAACTCAATCCCTCTATTAATGAAAGCTAACACACCATACGCCTTCTTAACAACTCTATCCACCTGGGTGGCAGCTTTCAAGGAACTGTGGACATGAACCCTGAGATCCCTCTGCTCCTCCACACTGCCAAGAATCTTTCCGTTAACCCTGTACTCTGCTTTCAAGTTTGTCCTACCAAAATTAATCACCTCACCCTTTCAGGGTTAAACTCCATCTCCCACTTCTCAGCCCAGCTCTGCATCCTATCAATGTCCCTTTGTAACCTAGAACAGCCCCCCACACTATCCACAACTCGACCCACCTTCCGTATCGTCCGCGAACTTTCTAATCCATCCTTCCACTCCTTCATCCAAATCAGTTACAAATATCACAAATAGAAGAGGACCCAGAACAGATCCTTGTGGTACACCACTCGTAACTGAGCACCATGTTGAATATTTTCCGTCCACTACCACCCTTTGTCTTCTAAGGGTCAGCCAATTCTGAATCCAATCTGCCACATTTCCCCCATCCCATGCCTCCTTACCTTCTGCATGAGCCTACTATGGGGAACCTTATCAAATGCCTTACTTAAATCCATGTATACCACATCCACTGCTCTACCTTCATCCATGTGTTTGGTCACCTCTTCAAAGAATTCAATAAGGTTTGTGAGGCATGATCTACCCCTCACATGGTTGGACGTATGACATGATATCCTGATCGATGCCCTCCATAATGTTGGGCCAGTATATAAATTCATGCACGAACCTTTTGAATTTTCTGCACCCACGTGACCTATATGAATATGGTCTAGTGTATCTTGACGTAGAGCTTGCAGAGTTAAGACTTGTTTGCTATTTGAAGATTAAATTGTGGGCAAGCCTTTATTTATCTGTAAATGGCCAGAGAGAACATAGCACCTTGGGCATCTGTTGGATGCATGCAGGCCACAGCTGGTTGATCTTTTTGAGCTGTTGCTGCTGGTCATCATGACATCACTTACTAGATTTGTTCTGCTTGGCTGTCACCAGAATGATTGGGTTCGATGCTAAGACTATCTTCCATGGTGATTCAGTGTTGTGCACTTTTAGGCCAACTTTATTTTTTCAGTTTAGGCATTTTTTTGTCTTTTATTTCGGTAGGATCAGCTCTAATACCAGTTGATGAGTAGGTTGAACTGAAGAACTTGAGTTGTCTCATGTTTAAGTGACATTTTTAGTGTTTAAAAAGAAGTCCATGTTCCTTTGATACTGTCAAAAATGGATGAAATTTTGTGTCTGTTATCTGCTGATTTGTTAAAAGACTTTTCTTTAAACAACTGATATTGAGACAGAACATTAAATATGTTCCAACCTATAGATAATGTTTGCTTTCTATCCTTTGCCCTTTAAAATACTGGTGTAAAAATCTGTATTGCAGTGTAGTTTTGTTTTGTGCTTTTGATGGCTTCTCAACTCTTGTTTGTAAATAGTACGTTGCTGCTACTTTACAAAAGTGTCTTGATTTCCTCAACTTTCTGTCTTCTTATGCTTCGAATTTTGCAACCAAGGTATCTGCTTTTTTTGATATTTTCCACAAAACACCATACACACAGCAGGAAGCTTACATTTCAATCTCTCAAAAATGCTCTGAGCCAAATACTGTGTACTTCAGTATTGTAATCCTACTGTTGCTACCACAGTCCCATTTTGTAGTTTACTACATGTTAGTCCACACAACACATACCATTAATAGTTCGGTTCTGTGAGTGAGCTATATGAAGTTTATTTACCACACTAACAATTCACATTGCTGTGATGTCACAATCCAGGTCACTTTTGTCAAAACGTATATGATGGACAAAAAAGATTTCCTAGGGTATTTTTAAGCAGTTTGTGTGAATTCAGTGACCAGATTGGGATCACAGGGTAACAGGTACTACAGGTTGTTTAATGCTTTAATGAGACCATGTTTAATATATAATCGATTTATACATGGATGCTTGGAACAAAGAATGGCACAGTTACATACTGAAGGATATACAGCACAAGCAATTTGGTTGATTGGTGATAGATTGAACACGTCAGACGATACAGAGCATTAATTTGATTTACTCCACTTGACCACCACAACATCTTGTGTGCTTTTTTTTTAAATGTATTTAAACTCTTTTATGTCTTGCAGGAAACTGTATGTAACCTCATCAGTGGTCCTTTGTTTGCTACTTTCTGGACTAGCAGTATTTTTTCTCTTCCCACGATCTATTGATGTGAGTTACGTTGGTGTGAAGTCCATTTATGTCAGTTATGACCAAATCCACCGGGTTGTTTATCTCAACATCACGGTAAGCCCTGAACTGCTAAGTTGGTAAAATCTGATTAACAATTTTTTAAAGGACATATACAGTGTATGTAGTTCCATGGTGTGTTTTATTATGCTCTTCCTTGTAATTATTTAAATGACAAGACATATCTTAACTCTTTCACTTAATGTCAAGAAAAGGTGCTCTTGATCACGTTGTTACAGCTTGCATTTAAATTTCAAATGCCTTGTTAGATAATGGAGATTTAATATTTAGAATGTTTTTAAAAAGATTTTTCCTCTCCTAATTCTTTTTTACAACAGGGTAGCCTTCTTTGTTTCCTCATTGCAAGAAAATGTTAGTCCATCCTTTCGTACTATTGGTTGGAAGAATGAGCTGTTGATCACTGCCGTTCCTTTGTTTTTAAACAGATCTTCCCTTTGACTTTGGTTGGGAATGCTCCAGTGCTATGAATATCTAGATTATGGCTTTGTTATGTTCAAGAGCAACTATGTTGTCTCGGGTTTCTTCCAAAGTTGATGTAACCCATTTCGTTTGTCAATAATTTACCGCATGACCAATCTGGTTGTTTTGCTGCAGTTAGCTGGACTGATATTTGATTCAAAATGTGTTGCTTGTTAGCACTCCTCACTGTTGCAAAGAAGTAATTGGCACCAGCATCATTCGAGGGTTTCTACATAATTTTTAAACTTCCATATCCAAACTGAACTAGTATTTCACAAAAGCTAGCCCACCCAATCCCTTTCCAAATCTGTATTCTCCTTAATCCCAAGGGAAAAAAAGGTGTGGGAGAATATTGTAAAGAATTTCTGACATAGAATTTAGTTGTTCACTGTGAAATAAACAACTTATTGGTTGGTACTAGCCTTCAATCATAATTATCTTTGTTATTCATGTTGGACAGTTCACTGTTTATGTACTCTTTGTATAGTTCTGCCAGGTTGTATTTGGTGGTCTGTGAAACCTTTGTTTAAGGAGGGAACAACATAGGAATTTTCTGGGATTTGTGGCTTGATTGGTATCTACAAAGACAGAGTTTTTATTAAAATATTATTAATATTTTAGTGTCACCCTTGGAGTTACTTAGTTCCCTGAGTGTTGTTGAAATTATTGCGCCATTATGTCTAGTACTGAGATTAAAGTTGCTTTCCCCTTACATCAAAGGTAATGAAATCACAATGAAGAATGGTAGCACTGGGTTGACTATTTCTTTTCCTAAGCTAAGAAACAATGAATCTTGCAAGAGCTTCAGACGAGACAGTAAATTTCAGACTTGCCATGTTGGCATCAGGGCAATTTGTTAAGACACAGAAGTTACGTTTAACGAAAGAAAATGGTCAAATCTAGTTAAAATGCACCTTGCTTCCCACTGATTCTAGCAGCTACTGTAGGCTCGTCGCTTCCTTTTACCCTTTGTGCAAGAAACCTCCAAGTCTATGCTTTTTATCCCTGCAACCAGGCTGCCTCGTGTTCTGATGTTCTTATCACATTTTGATCATCTTATTTCATCTATCTAGATGTTTTCCAATCACCCTGTTTAGGTATATTATTACACACCTCTGGAGCAGGTAGGACTTGAGCCTAAAGCTCCTGATCCAGAGATAAGAATGTAACTACTGTATCATCAGAGTCCTTGTTTCACTCTATCTGTAATTAAACATTAACTCGCCAGTTGTGGTGACAACCTAAAGAGAGATCCATAGACAGCCCATTGTTAACTTTGACAAGTTATGTTTACCTAACAAGCCATTCCTTGTGTCTCTCTGCTTCTCATTCCCACTCCCATGTAGGCAGCCCATTCCAATTCCAAGTACTGTGATTAAAGATATGGAATTTAAAATATGATTGTGTGGAAAGTTGAAACTGAGGTTTAAAGGCTAATAGATTTCAGTAACAGAAGTGCAAAGTTGTAAGTTTTGTATATTTTAAGGATATATTGAAGTGAAGTTGGTTTTGATACTGTTGTTTTGTCCTTTGCAGAGCACTTTAAATATTACCAATAACAACTTCTATTCAGTAAATGTTGCAAACATTAGTGCTCAAGTGCAGTTTTCAAAAACAGTTATTGGGAAATCACGGATAAGCAATATTACAAAAATTGGACCTCTCGATATGAAACAGGTAATCTTCAGTAAAACTTTTCTTTTTACAGTTTTCTTGATCATATTCTATCCTTTTGAAACAAAAGAGAGAAATTTTAGTTGATTTGCTTTACCATTTCCCTAAAATGTGTCGTAAATTTGTTAGTGGAAAAAAATTTCCAATAATCTGCAGTGCATGTTACAAATGGCAATTCCTTTTTTAGGTCAGTCAAGGTGCTGGCTGTCCTTTCTCTGTTGAAACATTTTTATACATGCTGCTTTATATTGGAAGAACGCTATATTAATTACATTTGGTGAGTTGGAATCAGTTGCTCCTTTCAGAATCTACTGGCATCTGACAATGGCACAGGAAACCATTCATCTGTGGGGAGCTGGCACGGTGGCTCAGTGGTTAGCACTGCTGCCTCTCACAGCACCAGGCACCCGGGTTTGACTCCAACCTTGGGCAACTGTTTGTGTGGAGTTTATATGTTCTCCCCGTGTCTGCGTGGGTTTCTGCCAGGTGCTCCGGTTTCCTCCCACAGTCCAAAGATGTGCAGGCTAGGTGGATTGGCCATGTTAAATTGCCCATTGTGTTCGGGATTGTGAAGATTAGGTGTGTTAGCTATGGGAAATGCAGGGTTATGGGGGGGATGGATCTGGGTGGGGTGCTGTTCAGAGGGTTGGTATGGACTTGTTAGGCCAAAGGGCCTGTTTCCACATTGTAGGGATTCTGTGAATGTAATGGAGGAGAGGACAGATTGAGGTGCTTTGTCAGTTTTCTTTGATTCACCATCTTTTCCCAAATTTGATCCCTTGGATCCACTATTTTTTTAAAACTCTTTCAACTTCCTTAATTGTGAAATTTGCTGGAACACTGGACCCAGCCCAGTTCAGCTATAGACTGTCCGAATAATAGATCCCACTTTCCCTAGGACTGTTTCTGGTAGCTCTTTGACAACTTTTTGTAATGCAATGCATCTTGTAGATTGTACACACTGCTGCTACTGAGCATCGATGGTGGAGGGAGTGGGTGTTTGTGGATGTGGTCCCAATCATACTGGCTGCTTTGTTCTGTTCAATGTCAAGCTTCTTGAGTTTTTTTGGAGCTGCATTCGTCCATGCAAGTGGGGACTGTTCCATCAGACTCCTGACTTATGCCGTTGTAGACAATGAATGGTCTTTGGGGAGTCATAAGGTGAGTATTTGCTGCAGTATTCCTGGTCTCTGTCCTGCCCTTGTAATGCTACTAGAATTCTGTGGAGCTACAGTTAATCCAGTGGTAATCCCAGGGCCAACTCGAAACTAACCAACTTGAGAACAGGCCATCTTCGGTTGGCTATTATGCATGAGAAAGAAATAATTTTAGTTTGAAAGACTCCTCGGGAATGAGTGACCACAATATGATAGAATTCTTCATCAAATGGAGAGTGAGGTTGTTGATTCTGAGCCTAGAGTCCTGAATCTTAATAAGGGAAACTATGATGATATGAGGTGTGCATTGGCTGTGATCGATTGAGAAATGTTGCTGAAAGGAATGACAGTGGATAGGCAATGGCAGACATTCAAACAGCAAGTGGGTGAACTACAAAAATTGTTTATTCCTGTCTAGCAGGAGAGTGCAAGAGAACAGTGGCCAAACTATGGCTTACTAAAGTCTTATGTCAGATGCAAAAAAAGAGGCCTATGAATTGGCAAGGCAAAAAAAAAGACCAGTAAACTGGGAACAGTTTAGAAGGCAGCAAAGGAGGACCAAGGGAAAGATTTAAGAAGGGGAAAATGGAGTGAGATTAAGCTGACAAGGAAGATAAGAACTGACTGTGTAAAAGTTTCTATAGGTATTCAAGAAAAAGAAATTGGTGAAAACGAATGTCGATTCCTTGCAGTCAGAAATGGGGTCATTTACAATGGGCAACAAAGAAATGGCTGACGAACTAAATTCATACTTTGCTTCTGCCTTTACAGGAGATCACAGCATACCAGAATTATTGGAAACATATGGTTTTGTGAGAGGGAGGAACTAAAGCAAATCTTTATTAGTAGAGAAATGGTTGAAGAAATTGATGGGATTAAAGGCTGACAAATCCTCAGGGCCAAATCTACATAACCGAATACTTAAGTGGCCGTAGAAGTAGTGGATTTTTGATGGTCATCTTCCGAGATTCTTTAGACTGTGGATCAGTTCCTACAGATTGGAGGGCAGCTAATGTAACCCACCTTTTAAAAAGGGAGGTAGAGAGAAAACAAAATTAAAGACCAGTGAGTCTGATGTCAGTCATGGTGAAGGTGCTAGAGTCCATTATCAAGGATTTTATACCAGAGGTCTTCAAAAACAATGCAAGAATCAGACACAGTCAACATTGAATTACAAAAGGGAAATCATGCTTGACAAATCTACTCGAGTTTCTTGACGATGTAACTGGTAGAGTTGATGAAGCCAGTGGATGTGGTTTATTTGGTCTTCCGGAATGCTGTGGACAGAGTCCCACTCGAGATTAATGTGCAAAATTAAAGTGCATGGGTTCGGGTTAGTGTATTGAGATGGACAGAAAATTGGTTAGCAGACACGAAACAAAAAGATGGAATATATGTCATTTTCTGAATGGTAGGCAGTGTCTAGTGGGGTAACGCAGCAATTGGTACTAGGAACTCCAGCCATTCGCAATATATGTTCATGATTTAGGTGATGGAAATAGATGTTATATCTCCAAAATTTGGAGATGACACAAAGCTGGGTGGAAAGGTGAGTTGTGAGGAAGATGTAGAGATAATGCAGTGAGATTTGGACAAGCTGAGTCCTGGTTATGTCATGCAAGTGGGACAGGTAATATCTTGGAATGGTGGTGTCTGCACACTGTGTAAGTTATGATTCCCTGAGTATGTAATTTCCAGTGCCTAGGTCAATGCCAGGTGGCTGGTCCAGTTTCATTTTTGTTGAGACTTCATAGCAGTCGATACAACTAAATGGTTTGCTAGGCCATTTCAAAGGGTTCTTGAAAGTAGAGTACGTTGCTGTGGGTCATATTTGCATGTAAGCCAGAGCAGGTGAGGATGGCAATTTCCCTTTGCTGAAGGGCATTAGTCAACTACATGGGTTTTTACAACAATTCTTAGTTCCAAATATTTATGTAATTCAGATTCCACCATGTACCATGGCATGACTCGATTCCGGATCAGCATGTTTGCTGAGTTTCTGGATTAAAAATCTAGTTATAGAACCACTAGGCCATCGCCTCCCCAACATAAAACTGTATTTCATTTATGCAGGGCATTGGTGAGACCACATCTAGAATACCGTGTAAGGTATTGATCTGTTTATTTAGTACAGGTTGTAAATGCATTTAAATCAGTTCAGAAAAGGTTTGGTAGATGAATAAAAACCAAAATAACTGCAGATGCTGTAAATCAGGAACAAAAACAAAGTTGCTAGAAAAGCTCAGCAGGTCTAGCAGCATCTGTGAAGAAAAAAATCAGAGTTAACATTTTGGGTCTGGTGACCCTTCCTCAGAACCTCACTCTTTCTTCTTGCCCATTGACATTAGTTTCACTGTCAGTCCTGGTATTAGATGAGTTCTGAGGAAGGGTTACCGGACCTGAAACTTTAACTCTGATTTTTTTTTTCTTCACCGATGCTGCCAGACCTGAGCTTTTCCATCAACTTTGTTTTTGTTTACTAGATAAATACTTGGAGTAGGTGTGTTATTTTCTGAGGGAATGTTGGACAGATTTGGAATTTATTCACTGAAATTTCAAAAGTAAGTGGAAACTTGATTGAAACATACAAGATCCTTTGGGGGGGCTTAGCAGGGTAGACGTGGGAAGGATATCCCCTCTCAGGAGAATCTAGAATTAACATAGTAGGTTACCCATTCAAGACAGAAGAGGCAAATGTTTTCCTCTTCATGTCATGCATCTTTGGAACTCTGTTCTTCAAAAGTGGTGGAAATTAGAGTCTTTAAATATCTCTAAGGAAGCGGTGGATATTTCTTGTGAAGAGAGGAGGTAACACATGATCAGGACTAGGTGGGAATATGAAAGTAATGTTACAATCAAATCCACGATGTTCTCAAATGGTGGGCAAGCTCAAAGGGTTAAATGGCCCACTCCTGCTGTAACTCGTAAGGTTGTTAAAATAATCTTCTAATTTGAATGTTTGTTTTCATGTTATGTTAGAATACTTTTCCTTTTGCATCAAACCTTGTGTCGAAGAGTTTTATCCTACATCGTTATGTTTTTTGAATAATTTACTTTCTTTTGCAGATTGACTATTCTGTTCATACTGTAATAGGAGACCAAATGAGCTACATGTAGTAAGTAGCATTTCTCACAAATTATCACAAGAACGTTTTCATGTCAAATTATTTCAAGTGAAAGTGATTACGTAATTTGCCAAAAAAAATTAGACTTGCGCAAGTTCTGAAAACTGCAAACTTGCACTGATACAGGCAAAGTTCACAAGTGACTAAGTGCATCATAAAGAAAATTCAGAGATAGTAATAACTGCAGATGCTGGATTCAGATAACACAGTGGAAGCTGGAGGAACACAGCAGGCCAGGCAGCATCAGAGGAGCAGGAAAGATGATATTTCGGGTCAGGATCCTTTTTTTTGAGTCCTGAGATAATGAAACAGTCCACGTTCAAGATATGGACAATACCCAGGCTTGGGCTGACAAATGGCAAGTAACATGTGCACCACACAAATGCCAGGCAACAACCATCTCCAATAAGAGACACAATCTAACCACTGACCTTTGATATTTAATGGAGTTATCATCACTGAATTCCTGACTATCCTGGCGTTACAACTTACCAGAAACTGTACTGAAGCATCTAATAAAAACAGTAGCTATAAGAGCAGGTCAGAGGCAAGGAATACTGCAACAAGTAAACAAAATTACTTTTCTCATCAATTCTTGGAAGTCTGCAAAATGTTAAATAAAAACCAAAAGAACTGCAGATGCAAAAATCAGGAACAAAAACAGAGGTTGCTGGAAAAGCTCAGCAGGTCTGGCAGTATCTGAAGAGAAAATCAGAATTAACGTTTCGGGACTGGTGACCCTTCCCCAGAACTTTAGTGTTCTGAGGAAGGGTCACGAGACCCAATACGTTAACTCTGATTTTTCTCTTCACAGATATGCTGCCAGACTTGCTGAACTTTTCCAGCAACTTCTGTTTTTGTTTCTGCAAAATGTTAAAGTCTTTCAAGAAATGCGGAGTATGGTTCATGATGTGGTTACCTGGAATCCTTTTTATGTTTTTTGAATTGATTTCCATGGTAATAGAATTCTGAATGGTTCAGGTTTCTGTGTCCAGCACTATACCCAGCTGTTCATGACCACCATTGAGTAATGTCTGCCAGAAAAAGATAATTTCCGGAGATTGGACCTACATTTGCTTTAATATTTTTTAAATATTGTAATCTTTTATCTGACTTGCAGTTTAATCATAATGTGGGCTAATATCTCAGATAATTTCCAAGATCACCTCTTGGCTTCCTGCTTTTCAGATTGAAAAGCTTTGGTCTCTTAAATCTTTCATTGCAAATAAAATCCTGACACTAAGGATCAGTCTAATGTACTTTTTTTTTGCATTTAAATGCCTCCCTTGTTTCCTAGTCATCAGAATTTGATGTGTTATCCATAGTATGGACTGACCAGATCATGTATTTTTATTATTATAGCTGTATAATTCTAGTGGCTTTGATTTTTTGTTTTGCAGTAAGCAGATCCACTGAGTATTGAGTCTACAAAGACTACTAGTTCTCTTTTAAATTCCTACGTGCAAACAAAGTTATTCAGTTGAACCCATCAGCAGTTAGCTTCCACATAAGCTAATAGTCCAAATCACATCGAATTGCTCTGTTCTATCTATCAATTTTTTTTTTTCTGACCTATTCAATCTCCTCAACCTGAATACTTTAACCACTAACTTTGTAAGTGCAGTGAACCATCTCATTTCTCTCTGTAAAGAAGCTTATTTCGTTATCTGTTTGATTTTAAAAGAGATTCCAATGGTCCTTCATTCTAGATATCAGAATTAGACTTTATTGTCATGTGTACTCAAGTATAGGGATACAGGAGTACAGTGAAAATCTACAAAGTTGCCATTCACCGGCACCATCTTGGTTACAGAACCAGAATTTTTTTTTTAAAAAAAAGCAATAGGAGAAATAAAAGAAACAGAACCCAAAGGGAAGAAGAACATCCGGATCATTTTAAAGTCCCATCACACCCTTTTGAGGTCATGGTTTGTTCATAACTGCCTGACATTTCATAAGTTGTCAAAAATATCTCAAGATTCAGTAGGAAATTGTGATCAATTGAGCTGTTTTCACATTTGCAGTGAAAATTGTTCAGCCTGTTTAAATGTTTTACTGACTGCTGAAATGTCCTTTCTGAATGACTTAATTCCAAAAGTAAAACGCTCTGGAAGTTGCAGATCTGAAGAAAAGTTACAGATCCAGAACATTGGTTGGAATTCCATCCAGGCAACAGGGGACTCACCTGCTAACTAGAGAGCTGGCAAGAGTCCCTCATTGCTTCTGTAGGAGAAACCTTGCTGTATTGAGTGAGTATTAGACACTCACCTAGCCAGCAGCAGGTTTTCCCAGAATTTAAGATCTCTGAGGTGAAAAACTCACCTGAGAGCCAGGTCAGAACCCAGCAGCTTTCTGTTTTTATTTATGAACTTTGCTGCAGTTATCTAGTGTCTTTTTGCATCTTAAGCCTGGGATCAGAGATAACAGACTATGTAAAATAAATTTATGTAAAATCCATTATGATTTTTTTTAGTGACAAAAAAAAACAGATTACCTGAAGGGAAAACAGTTGCAGCTTAAATAAGGATGTATTATCCAAATGAAATTTGACTTTTACTGGGAAAGGTTAAGTTAGAACTTTACAAAATACATTTAGATTGATCAAAGTAGATTTTCTGGACATAAATAATTTGTCTAAATTGATACTGTTCATTTTCAACAAAGAGCAACAAACTAGAAAATAATTTCAAATTGATACTTTAAGTAAATAAATCTGTAACTGAATCCAAACTTAAATGTATTGAACTTGTCTAAAACAACTCCCACTATAACATATCCAAATGTAAAATACTAGAGAGGAATGTCTTTAATGACCTCTTTTACAATGCATTTAAGTCTTGCTGGAGCTCTGAAAAACTTTTATAATATCTTTGAAAACTAAATTCATTATAACATTCGTGGCAATGACAAATGAATACCAAGGCTGCATTGGTGAGGTGCTGAAGTCCGTCTCCACTGATGTTTAAGGTTGCATCTACAACAGAACTGTAGGATTAAGTTCCACAAATATGTATTCTTTAGCAATCATAAAACAAAACAACCAAAGCTCTTAGTTACTGCTAATGGTGAACGATTCAATTCTTATAAAATATTTCTTGAGTATTCATCAATACAAAAAGCATATAGTACTTGAATGAACATGCAAATGCTAAACGTGCAGAGTACAGGAGGCCAGTTTCTTATCTCATCCTTTTTTAATCTTAAGTACTCGCAGATTGTGAGTAAATACGATATATTGTTCTAATTCCATAAACAAAACTACAAATTTTCCAATCATTCCTCATGTCGTCTGTATTTTCTCAAAATAGACAGCAGCCTATTGCATCTGAGTTGTACCCAATCAAAGTTTCAACGTTCTTATTTTAGTGTGGAGCATTAGACTGAATATAATACTCTGACCTTAAGGTTTCTTATAGGCTTTTATATTCCACATTACTTCTGCTTTAACTAAAACACAATTTGGTATATTCAAAGTAACATTATTTTGGAGTGATATAGCACTGATGTTGCAAGAAGCATTTTGGCACACTGTGCTGGCTGATTGAAAACACACCTGAAGTCCTTTTTTGGTTTTTCTTTTCTTAATAGCCCTGAAAAATTTTCTTCCAAGTATTTATCCAATTTGTTTTGAAAATTATTGTTGAATATGCTCCCACCACTTTTTCTAGCAATGCATTCTAGATCATCATAACTTGCTGCTTAGATTTTACTACCACTTCTTGGTTTGCCAGTTTGCCTTAAATCTGTGTCCCTGAATGTCATGGACAGAAAATGTGCTCACTTATTGCCTGTAATCAATATCTTTTTATATTAACAGAACAGTTTATATCTACCCTTGGAGTGTGTATTCCAATTAAGGATTTCAGCATGAAGCTTTCAGGAATTTAAACTAAAGAATATTATTTATTCTTTGTCACACCCTGAATTAATGCTCTTAAATGCCAGTGGGGGAGCAGTCAGAACAAGTATAAAATACACATGAAAGTATTTTAGTTAAAAATGACTTTGTCTTGTTTGTTTACTAAATTAACCTGTTATTTCTTCTTTATTACAGTGATTACTGTACATTGATGTCAATCAAAGTACATAACATTGTGATTATGATGCAGTGAGTATATTAATGGCGTGTTAAATATTAAATGCATGAGTTTGATTTAGAATATGCTTTGACCTAGTGTTGAAATGTGTAAACAGAAACCATATTGTGAAAATTCAAAAACATATATTTGGAAGCTGTTATGAGTCAAATGCAGGCACTTATTATTGATTGATCATGGGCTTTAATGGCACACTTCATAGAATGCCGAACAAATGGTATAGGCAAAACCACAATCTTGGATATGGATATGGTGCCAAATAACCATTGCAAAGGCAAATATAAATATTGTCCATTATTTCAGAACCTTTCATGACTTCTATGTAAGTGCTTTGAGTGATTGAAGCATTTTAGAATTGTGATCGCTGTTGTACTCGAAGAAAACAAGTTAGATCATTCATAATTGTAAGATTCCACAACAAAAATGAGATAAATGACCAAACAATCTATATTTATTAATGGCTTTGGTTGAAGGATAAACATCAGACAGAATATGAGGGGAATTCTGCTAGTCTTCAACTAATACCATACAATTTTCAGATTCACCTGAGAAGAGGGAAGGCTTTGCTTTAATATCCTATCCAAAAGCCAGCGTCTCTACAAGTCCTTCCTCACTAGTGACAATTTAATTTAGTGGATTATGCACAGAAGTCTTGAATTGGACTTGAATCTGCAACTTTATCGTAAAATGACTACATTACGTTCATTGTTACGATCTCTGCAGATAACTGTAACATTTTTAACAAGAGGTTTGAAGCTAAAATAATGAAAAAATAAGGTTTCGCATTTTTCAAAACTTGTACTGCAACAAGTGTCCACAAGTTTTCTTTTTGTAGACAACTTACTGTTTAAACTATAGAGGGAACGTTCCCTTTTTTATGTTTAATATACCATGCTCTCATCAGTTTGCAGTCCTTACTGCAAACAGTGCCTCATTGCTGCTAGCTTCCAATAGGGTCCAGGATCCTGTTATACCAAACAGAAACTTCAAGCGAATGGATTCAAGTGAGGAAGGATACTCTAGTATAGAGGGAGTGCAGCAAAGGTTTATCAGACTAATTCCTGGGATGGCAGAACTGAGAAGGGTTTGAATCTGTTAGGAGTAAATTTGTTGGAGTTTAGAAGAATGAGGGGAAATCTCATGGAAACCTATAAAAGTCTAACAGGACTGGACAATGTAGATGCTGAAAGGGTGTTCCCAGTGGTGGGGCAGTCCAGAACCAGGGGGGTCACAGTCTAAGGATATGGGGCAAACCATTTTGAACTGAAATGAGAAGAAACTTCTTAACCCTGGGAGTGGTGATCCTGTGGAATTCACTAGCACAGAAAAGCAGTTGAGACCAAAACATTGTATAATTTTAATAAGGAGTTAGAAGTCGCACTTGGGACTAAAAGGATCAAAGGACTGGGGGAAAGCAGGAAACAATGTTCAGTTGGATGATAAGCCAAGATCATAATAAATGATCATTGGGCGGCACGGTGGCTCAGTGGTTATCACTGTTGCTTCACAGCGCCAGGGACCTAGGTTCGATTCCACCCTTGGAAGACCATCTCCGTGGAGTTTGCACATTCTCCCTGTGACTGCATGGGTTTCCTTTGAGTGCACCGGTTTCCTCCCACAGTCCAAAGATGTACAGGTTAGGCAGAATTGCCCATACTGTCCAGGGATGTGCAGGCTGTATGGATTAGCCACGGGGAAATATAGGGTTACAGGGATAGAGTAGGTGATGGGTCTGGGTGGGATGTTCCTCAGCGTGTCAGTGTGGATTCAGTGGGTCGAATGACCTGCTCCTGCTCTTATTTTTTATGCTTCTATGTCACTGTTGGGCAGACTACAAACCAGGACGCATATCTCCTTCATTTATCTTAAATTCAAAACTACAGTCTCAAAATATAATCTAAGGAAACTTATAATTAGAATATTGTGCTAACACAGTGAAACGGATAAAACATATTTAAAGATCTGGTTTTAATTATTCAATTCTTGTGCTGTTAAATGTGGCATTTAAAATAGCACAGGTAAAGCCAGACTAGTTGCTCCTGTGATCTGAAGTTGAACTGTTAATTAGATACCCTACTGTCCTCTTTTGCAGCTGAGTATGCAAAATGGTTGTTTTTGTGGATACAAGTAAAATTAACTTAGGAGCCTCACACTTTAATATATTCAATGACTGAACAGGCTTTCGGCATAATTCTGCTCCTATATCTTATGTTATTATAGAATTCTTCTTGCTTCAGTTTAAAGTGCCTGGCTAGTTTGCAACAATGAAACATGCACACAACCTTTGACCACTATTCTATGAATGGACCTGTCTAGAAACCCGGAAAAAGATTGTTTCACTGTTTGTCTGCCTACCTGTCTCATATCCATAACTTCCCTGAATGTCTTATAACTTAAAATAAATCGTTGTACAGAAGGTAGTATGCGCTATGAGAAAGTGGAAATGAAGAATAAAAGTTGACTTTAAAAGCTATGGACTGTTTTGTTTCACTGTTGCTTTCTTATCCTTTCAGAGCAACTATTACTACATCCTACTTTGGGCATACAGAACAGGTTTCACTTGAAAAGTATCAGTATGTGGACTGTGGAAGAAACACCACCTACCATTACAAAAGATCAGAAGATCTCAACCTTGCACAACTACACAACTCACCTTGACTGAGTGTTTAAAGTACAGAAACAGTCAATAACCAACAAACCATTAATAGAATAATTGGGCGCACTAGATGTTCAAAATAGTGTCTGAAGTTAATTTGCTTTACGACTGAAAAATGATGACTATAACTGTACAAACTGCTGCATGATGTCTGACTATATTAACTAAATTTAAGTAAACTTGTTATTTTATTCACATTTGAAGTTTGTTATGCTGTATGTTAAAGGAAATATTTCAACAGGTTTTTATCAGGTGAACAACTTTTTCCATATTGTCCCTCATTTGATTAAGTGAACTGTCATTGCATTGACACATTATTTAAATTAGCACATTAAATATTAATGAGGAAGACATTGTAGAGATTTACTCTGGTTCCGTTTAGTATCCACAATTGATAGGGATGCCAACTATCATATTTTCACATTTGATTTTAATTTTAACTGAAGAATTGACTTAAATTCACTGTGGAAGCATATTTGTCAGTTTTTGCCCTCTACAAGAATGTGATCTTGTCATAATTGAGGAAAGTTTCACTTTAAAACATTTTAAACATGGATTCCATGCAAGAATAATTGGCATAAGACGCTTAGATTTTTCCCTTTGTTGGCTCAAACTTTATAAGTTGTCATGTTAGACAATCTGATTTAATGTCCAAAATATTACATGAGAATTGGAATCATTGTTCGAATGATTGTGTAAGAGTTCTTTGAGAAAAGTCATGCATCAGTTAGTTAATTTAAGACCTACCCAGCTATTACATTTATTGCTTACCAGACACACAAAAGTGCATAGGTCTACTATTTTAATTGAAATCTTTTTTGCCATTAGTTACCTTTGTTTACTTAATTGAATAGTAATCTAGAACAACTAAATGAGAAGTTTATAATTTGTGAAAATTGTTTAAACAGTCCTTTTTGTGAACAGGACATAGTTTACCCTGTTTTAATAGTTGGTCAAAGCAAGATGTCCCAAGGCTTGTGACATCTGAGTGTGCAGTTGCTTATAATGGTCATTGAAACTTATTATTTAACTGACATTTGCTGTTATTTGTAAATCCAATGACATTACTTCAGAATTATGCACTTTAATGTTTAGAGGTCAGATTGTGAGAAGAATTGAAAATTTAAATCTGAATAGCAGAACTTAGAAGCTTAATTGGTATCTGTGGTGAACTGACCAAAACTTGTAAATTATTGATGTTTGGATTGCATAAAGTAAATCAGCCACTTAGTGACTTGTTGAATTTGTTTTACTCACAAATAGATCAATGTAATAATGAATATCAGTAGAGTTTAATTCGTTCTATTTCTGCCTCATTTAAGGTGTCCTTCCATTTCCAACTTTTATCTCTAAACTAGTTTTCGGAAGTTGAGACAAATTGACGTTAGTAGATCATATGCCTATTATACAGCCTGCCTGATTTATGTTAATTTGAATAAAATTTTAAACAAATGTGTGGTAAGCAACCATCAACTAGCTCCACTGAAATTAAGATTAGTTCCTTTTTTTAATGCTAGATTGCAATATCAAGAATTTTACTAACTCTTTTCATTGGAAGCTGTTTTGTAGTAGACTTTGCAAATTGAGACTTTTGTAATCTTTGTATGTTAACTAAGATGAAATCCTTCAGTCCTCTCAATTATTCTGGTTCCATGTTGGGTTTTGATAACTGATGTCTAAACTGGTTCACAGCAAAATATTTAAACTGCATTAACCATTTTCTTAGTTACAGATGTGATTATTTATAATTAATGTTTTTATGCCAGGTTTGTGAATGAATCACTTAGCTAGATATCACACTGTACTGTTGACACTGTGGTGGTACTTGTTTTTTTTGCACACGTTAATGGTGGCACTCCAAATGCTTGCAGATGCCGCTGAATTTCTAAAGTTCTGTTAATATCTCCCAAGCCTACCACTTTGAACTGAAAATATTGTGCTAATATAAATGTGTGTTTTTACAAAGTTGACTCTTAAGATTTCTGCATTGGAAGGGGATATTTTACTTCCTTACTTAAAATAAACTTTTTAAAGGTTGACTGGACTTTACTGATCACCTTCAGATTAAAGTGTTTCATTAAGTGCAACAAATATTGAGGGTTTGATATTCTGAATCTGTTGTAGCAGATTCTTCAAGATTTCAGTATGAAGAGTTTAAGACTGATGATGAGGCATTGTTAAACTTGTCACAGCTTAGATTGATGAAACAGTGTACAATATAACACTTTCAAGAAGACAATAGAAATTGATGAATTGCACTTTCTCCTGTTCCTCTAACTCTAACTCTAACTTAAAGGTCGAAGTGCATGTCTTAAATTCTGGGGCACTCGTGATATACTTGAAGCAGAAAGTTTAAAGCCACGGTTTACACCTTTTTCATCTCAATTTGAACTTTTCACACATTTCACTTAACAGCACTTCTATTCAATATCACTTGCCTAATATGTACAATGCTTAGTATTTCTCTCCATCATACCACATGGTTTCAGTGGTTCCCCATACCTTCCTGATCTGAGTAGTTTGCTGTGAATTATGCACTAGGTACTTTTGGAGGTTGTAACTCTAATCCTATATTCCTCTTGGACAATGAACTTATGATAGTTGACACTCCATTTTCACTGCTTCAGTAAAGTGATATGATAACTAATTTGTACATTACCTAGAAACTAATGATCATCTAATTTATACCATTAAATCCACTGAACCATTTTAATGTGCCATTTTAAATGTATTTCTGCTGTGTGACAAAGAACTTGCTAAATAAAATAAATGAAGTCTTCATACAGTGTTCAATTATCAATGTATATTGGCTTATTTTGTAGCCTCCCACCACTAAAGAAAGAGAACGCGCTTATTTTGCCAGCTCAAAGGAAGCTATTTCTTGAGTACATTACCATTTTTTTTTCCAATCTAAAACTAGTGAACATAGCAAAGTCAAACTTTCATGTTGGCAACGGATAAGGTATCAGAGAATATAATTTCCTTTTCCTCTGCTGCTTGGGGTAGCAGATGTCAGAAGGAAAGTGGTGAGAGAGAAGAATCCACTGAGTAGAATTCTTCTTTGTGTACAATGACGTACCATCTGAAATGTAACAGCTGGGTGCTCACTTTAGGTGATTCTTTCTTTCATCTGGAGTCTGTACATGTGATTTGAAAGACTCGACTGTGCCATGAAACAAATAAGTGATTAGCAAAAGCAAGTTGTAGAATGGGGCCTTTTGACCCAACTAGTTTGAAATGCATCCAACCTGATTTAATTTCTATAAGTTACATATTCACCAGTTCCTAACTTGATTCTGTAGAAATACCTTCTAGTTATATGTTAACATTACCCACTTCAATAACTGATTCCAAACTGAAAGAGTGATTTGGATTTTATTGGTGACTTGCACACCCTCAGGATCTCCTAAAGCACTTTGAAGTAGTGAGAAACTTATTCTAGCAGTTGTCTGGAAGTTGGCTGCCACAGTAAGCTATCAAAAAAGCAACATAGTTATGATCAGAATCTGTTGTGTTTGTTAGTTGGAAAGCTAAATATTGTCCTAAATATGACTTGCTTCCTACCCACACTCCTCTCAATTCTGCTATATGATCTTATACACCCACCTTGGTAAGCAGACAGGGCCTCAGTTTATCATATCTGAGATGCAATACCTCCAACAATGTACCAATCCACCAAGTCTCTGGAGCGAGATTTGAATTTAACTTTTTGTGACACAATAGAACAGAATGCTTCAACTGAATTACAGCAATTTTAGCACAGTCTGAAAAAAGTTGTTGCTTCAGCACTGTAATGCTGCTTTTTCAGGTCTGTTTCAAGGTATGTTAATCAAAGGATCAAACTGCAATATTGATACTTTTTTTGCCTTAAAAAAACTGCAATCTAGCCCTCCAACTCAATTTGATTTTTACTTTGTATGATTTGCTTGTGTCTGCAATTTGAGGCAGCATACAAATTGGTAGGTTTGTTTATCTGTTGGCTTCTGAGGGTTATGCAAAGTGGTATGCCCATGAGTCCACCACCCATTTAACTATTAAAATAAATTTTAGAATGTATCTGTCATGCTCCAGGTGGTAGGTATTCGAATCTCTGTTTATTTAAGTTTCTCTTTTTATAAATTTCAACATCAGGATCTATCCAAGTTTTTTTTCCTTTAAAAATGATCTTGCTATTACTTTGCCATTTTGAAGTTAATTGTATCTCAGAAATGCTTTTAGAGAGCATTCCAAATAGTCACTGCTGCCTTCATAAAATCCAGTCATTTCAATATGAACAGCACAATAGCTCTGCTAGAATTCTAATCACAATGCATTAAAATAATATTTATAAACTACTTCATTTTGTTAATTTAGGAATTCAATTTGCAGTAGTTGGTCCATTAAGAGAATCTTTCCAATCTTTGATTTAAATTACCATCATTATATTAGCAAAGATTTATAGTTGACCATAATGACTGTCTAAATAACTGTTAAGGCTATCCATTATTTAGACACATAAACAGCAACTTTAAGTGAGTTGCAAGAATGCAGTTAAATTCAAACAAAGTCACTGACTCTGTGCTGCCACACCATTAGCTTAATGATCTGCCTCACCATTAAATGTGAGCTTCCATGGTTATGAACTAAGCTTGTCACAAAATTTATCACAACTGGTAAGGGATGTTTATATAGATTAGTGCAAATTACTGCTAAATTACCTCTGGCACTGATTAACTTTTGCTTCATTATGTTGTATTTCAATTGTTTATTTTTTTAAAAAAATCAGTTTTAATTGGATATTTAAAAACTTATTTTACCTTTGTTGTTTTCTCTTTTTGTATCTGATTTGTCATTGGATTTATCCTTTCTAACTTACAATTTTTTTCAGTCCTTTTTTTCTATTAACTTGTAATCTTTTAATCTGTTTAAAATACAGTTACTTTTCATGTTTTACATGAACACCAGGCCAGGTGGACAAAATGATTGAGACATATGGTATACTTGTCTTTATTAGTAGACATATCGGGTTTTAAGATCAGGGAGGGAAGTTGTGCTGGAATTGTATAAAATGTTGGTGGGGCCACAGCTTGGGTATTGTGTACTGTTCTGGGATCCACATTATAGGAGGGATGTGATAGCACCAGAGAAGTTGCAAAGGAGATTTATCAGGATGTTGCCTGGTTTGGAGAGTTTCAATGATAGAGAGAGATTGACAGACTGAGGTTGTTTTCTTTAAAGCAGAAGAGAGTAAGAGAGAATGTGATAGAAGTGTGGAGGGATCAATGACTAGGAGACATAGGTTTAGGGTAAAGGACAGAAGGTTGAGAAGAGATGAGCAAAAAATTTTTCACCCAACAGGTGGTGGATATCTGGACTCTGGTTATAAGGTTGGTAGATACAGAAACCCTCTTAACATTTAAGAAGTATTTACACAAGCACTTGCGATGTCAAGATATACAAATCAATGGGCCAAGTGCTGGAAAATGGGGTTAGGGTAATTAGGTTGTTTTTGACCAGCACAAAAACATTGACCGAAGGTGTTTTTTTTTTCCTGTGTTGCAGATCTCTATGGTTCCATAACTTGTTGCAACATTAATCATCTTGCATTTTCAGCAACTTGCTCTACAAAAAATTAAAAGCCTGTTTACAAAAGGACAGGTCCAGCTTTGAACAGACAACAGCTAAACCATCTGCCATGACAAATTATGGGATTTCATTTTGCAGATTTCCTATCTGCCTTAAAGACAAACATACCACTGTAATCTCCTGATACTCGCCTACAGGCCTCTATTCTTCTTCTATCCCTGTGTTTTTCCACTGCTAAGTTAGTATTTCCTGGGATTTGGGGAAATGGTGCCAAAGTGGTATTGTCACCTAAATACTAATTCAGAGACCCAGGCTAATACTTTGAGGGCATGAGTTCAAAACATACTGCAACAATTAGTGAAATTCAGCTTTACCGGTAATCTGGTGGTTAGTGTTAGACACGTCACCACCATGGCCTCGTTTTGATTCTCTATCAAGGAATTAAGATTTTAATATTGAGGGAAGCAGATGTTATTTATTACAAGTAGGCAGATATATGGAGTTGATGCCATAATAATTATGAATACCATAGCAGGTCCCTGTGCGTAAAATGGCCTCTCTTAATACATTGAATCTCGCAATAGTGTACAAGATGATGAGAGGCATAGATAGAGTGGATAGTTAGAGACTTTGTCCCAGGGCGGAAATGACTGTTATGAGGGGACATAATTTTAAGGTGATTGATGGAAGGTATAGGGGAGATGTCAGAGGTAGGTTCTTTACACAGTGAGTGGTGGGTGTGTGGAATGTGTTACCGACAGAGGTAGTGGGGTCAGATACTTTAGAGACTTTTAAGCAACTCTTGGATTGGCACATGGAGGATAGTAAAATGTAGGGTATGCAGGGTAGATTGATCTTAGTAAGATAATAGGTGGGCACAACATCATGGGCCGAAAGTCCTGTACTGTCCATGTTCTCTGAGTCACACTGGTGAAAATTTGACAAGAGAAGGAAAGGTGCTGAATTTTCTTACCTGGAGTGGATTTTGTCAATACCAACGGCTTCTCTGTACTTAGGCACTACTGGTTGTGTCATGAACATTGGTGTTGTGTTAACGAACATCAGCGTTGTAAATGTGACTCGGCACTTATGCTATTGAAAAGATTGCTTGCTGTGTAGACCTGTAAAGCCAAGTATCATCTCTGAGGACAAATTCAGCTACTTTTGCAGCATGCCAATGCTAAGAGCACAAAGAATACATTTAACAATGGACAACTGGGCATCCATGACATGCTTACAATCATTTTATTCAAACATGTCAAGTCCCAGAGGGAAATGAAAGTAACTGCTCTTGACCAAGAAGCAGTATATAAATAACTATAACACCTCCAAGATAAACCAGTAAAACAAGTCAATGAGAAAACTCCAGTAGCTAGTCATGCCACATAGAAAGGAAGGTCGTTGTAGGTACTAACGGTCACAGGCCAAGACTTGGATGCAATTATTTTTATAACTAGTTTACTTGGCATTACTTTGGGAACATATATTTTGTCATTTTCTCCTTGATTCTTGTAAAATCCATTAGAATCTTGAGGAGAAAAGAAACCTGGATGTTTGTTGTTAAGGAAAGATGTAATTATTGTTGATTGTCTTTCCACAGTATGAATTCCACATCAAAAACACAGCAAGTAAAATCATATTCGATCGCATATGTGTTTAACAGTGCGTGGGGAAGAGAAAGGGTTTTTTTTTATAGACAGTTTGCAGTCTATTCTACATAATTGATGATAAACCATGCTGTGAGTTAGTTATGAGCTTGGTCTTAGACACGTTTGATTTTTGACATAACAGTATCCTTTCACAGTCTGTTCTAAGATAACTAAAGTAAAGGCACTTGACCTACAGCATTCTGCCCACATACCAGACAAAGTATGGAGGAGCCATTCTCAGTGAGTAAAGAATAGCTAAAGCAGTCTCCAATGGAAAGTTGTGAGGTAATTAGTGAGTAGCTGATGAGGATTTTTTTCATTTAGGTCAAAGCCAAATCTTAAGTTTATTTTGGTAAATGTAACAAGTCATTGAATAAATAGAGGTGGTAGTGTATTTTATTTCCCAGAATTGTGGATCCTGCATCATGTTCCATGGTATTCTAGGTTTTTATTTGGGACAACCAAAGTGCAGGAAGTGGTGTAAGCTGAAGAAGCTTGAATGCTGAGTTGCAGACTGCTGTTTCCTTTCCTTTCTCACTTCCCCTCTGAACTTTGCACGTTCATC